ACCTCCAATGAAAAAGCAAGGAAAACAAAACCCCTTACAATCATGTATAGTCAAGCAAAACAAATTCCTTCATTGGTCATGTTCCCCCCTCTCCCTCTGTCTATGCCTCAATCTGCACTCTGTGAATCATTCTAGCAGCTGAGACACTGTATATTGCAACCATGGGAGCAACTTGACCATATGCTTTGCAATCCCTTACCCCCACCAAGAATGAACGTGGTGGAGGGAATATTTAGTAGCAAACACGTTTAGTTTGAGTCCATTCTCCAGGGACTGAGGTGCTGGAAGACAGAGTACTCCCAGTTTGGTAGGGGTTTTTTTTTTTTATACTTTGGTTCTTGTTATATCTTCTCAGTAAATATCCCTTTGTAAATGCTAATTGATGTTTATTAATTAACTGATATTGAGGAAAGACAGACTGGTCAATTGATATTGGGGGTGTTAGCTGGTGACTGATATTGGTGGGAACACACCAGACGGATTTTTATCATCTTAGAAAAATCCTTCAGCCTCTCAGGGTTAATCCTAGAACCCTAAAGGTTGAAGTAGCTATTTTCACTCTGAATATCTGACTTACTAGTCTGAGAGTAGATTGGGAAAGAGAATCCAAAAGTGTTGCCACACATGTAAAATGAATACAAAGTAGTTTTGGGAGGGAGGATTAGAGGGATCAGGAAAGACCATCATGTATAAGGTCGGACTTGAGCTGAATTTTGAAGGAGAGCAGGATTTATGAGAGGTGGAGGTCAGGAGAGAGATCATTTCAGTCAAGGGAGATAGTATAAAGGCGTAGGGATGCAAGATGGAGTGCAGTGTATGAGGAATAGTTACGTAGGTCAGTATGGTTGTTTTATGACCAAAGGGCAAATTTGCTGATTTTCAAAACCAGAGAAGGGAATGTAGACCACAAACTGTTCCAGTGAGCTTGACTTAGATTCCTATTAAAATTCTCAAATACGTTATTAAAAGAATAGTTAATGGATGTAGAACAGGACATATCTTTTTTTTTTGACACACTACAAGACTGTTAGATCAATGGAATAGTGTAGATAGAGATTACTTAGTTTTCAGCATTTTACAGAGTCTTTCGTGCTATGCTTGTGAATATGGACAATCTAATCTTATGGACAAGATGGATAGGTATACTATAGATAATAATACAGTTAGGTACATTTGGAACTAGTTGAATGGCTAAACCCAAAGATTAGTCCTTAATGCTTTGATATCAACTTTGAGGGATACCTCAAGTATGGAATACTGGGATCCATGCTTGGTCTTGTGCAGTTTTTTTTCATCAGTGTCTTGGTTAAAAGCATAGACATTACGCTTATGAAATTGGCAGATAACATAAAGCTACAAGGTATATGATATACGACTGCTTTAGCAGATCTTGTCAGGCTGGAGTGTTGGGCTGAAGTCACGAGGATGAAATTTAGTAGAAGCAAATGTAAAATTGGGTTTAAAATATTAAAAACCCCAACTTTACAAGTGCAATGTTGGGGATGGGGTTGATCTCTTTTATCTGAAAAATATGTGGGGGGCTTAATGGGCAATAAACTCAATATGAGTCAACGTAATAATAAGGCAGGAAAAACCCTAAAAAATAAGATCTTAGGTAGGATGAAACAAACAATACTTAGGACTAGCATGGTAACTATCTCATTATGGCCTGCCCTTGTCTGATCATATGCAAAGTATCATGTTAAGTTCTGGGCATCACATTTTAGGAAGATTGCTGATAGGATGCTGTCTAGAGGCAGGCAACCAGGATGGCCTGGAGAATCCATCACATGATTTTATGATATTTAATTTGGAGAAGACAAAATTCAGGGGAACATGATAATTATTTCCAAGAATTTGAAGAGCTGTCATAGCTAGTAAGTGGCAGGTTCATGACTGGCCTTTTGACACCAAATCTGGTGATCTTTTTTCAGGTGATACTTTCTAAATATCATTGTTTCACTATCATCAATCGCTGTTGAGATTATATTACAATGTTATATTATGATATATTATTAAACAATAAAATGCCAAAATAGATTTCATTTTATATCTGTTTTCTTTCCAATTTCACCTTAAAAGGATACTGGAATGATTTAGTTTAACTGGATGTCATGCCAAGCTATCAAAAATTTTATTTTCCTTTTAACTATTTTATAAGCTGATACTACTCTTAATTTGTCATTTTTTTGTCAATGTTTTTCTTGTAAGGTTAACAGGTGCTACCTTTGTGTTACGTCTCTTCAGCTGACAAGAGATAAATGTTAAAGAGGTTGAGCCAAGTTTCTTGGCTCTTTTTACATTTCTATTATAATGATAGCTTTGCACTAGTTAACTATATGAAATGGAAATAGAATTTATGTCAATCCTTTTGTTCATTTCATATGATTTTTAGGAAACAGTTTGTTTAAACAGTTCAGGTTGGTGCTCATATAAGGGCATGTGTAGTCTTATTTTTTTTATCCTGTTTGTTCATGTTTACTTTGATCTTTGCTTTTACCAACTGTGTATTTGTCTACAGAGGCAAATAATTCTCAAATGGTGTTATATTGTCAAGTACACTCAAACTAACTTTACCATATTTTTCTCGAAGTCTTGCTTGTAGATGTTTTCAAATCATTGTCTTCTTGTGTGTTTGTGTCCTGAGATTCCCTTAGTAACTTTTTATGGTCAAGTTTTTTTTCTTTTTTGCTCATTTTTTTCCAGTCTACTTCTTGACTTTAGACTTTATGTTAATATTGGGCTCTGCTCACTTTAAGGGGGATGTCTGGATTGAGCTTTCATTTGTTATGTCCTTCTGCTGCTTTTATAGCTTAGTCTAGGGATCTATAAGTGGTGTGATCTGGGGAAGACATTTGTTTACCGCATTCTGTAAGTTCTTCAACAAGTTTGGATTTATTGTTTTTGTGTAATTGTGTTTTCATAGACTGCTGCTGGACTTAGTCAATTTTAGCCCCCTTGAAGGTTCTTACGCTTCACAGCTTCCCCCTAGTTTTGGTCTCCTATCCTGGGCTATTCCATTGCAAACTTAAGTGCAGGGCTAAAGGTTAAAACTGAATCTCTACTCTGCTCTTGGGCTCAGAGCCACGTGGCTATGTTTCTGGAATGTGTTCTCTGCTCCTTACACCAGTAGGGCTTCTCCTTCCTCATGACTACTCCTCTCTGCGCTGGAATTGTGATTCAGGATTGGGTAACGGGCAACAGACAGAGCTACCAGATGGCACTTGTGTTTCTGCTCCCAGAGATAGCACAGGGGACCTCTGAAATCTCTTTCTGCCTCCTACTCTGGTGTTCAATTCCCTTACTGCTCCTGGATGCTAGACTGCTCCCTTCCCAGTACTCCTGCTACTGTCACTCCTGGCCAGTCCCTGCCCCAGTGTCCATAGATCTCTCTATCTTCTTAAGATAGAGAATTCCAGCTCTAGGCTGGAAATGACTAATTGTGACTTTTTCTTGGCTTTCTTTGTCAGAATTTTATTTTTTGTGGATGAGGTTGTTGAGGAGCTAAAGCAAAAATGCTGCCTTCACTTCACCATTGTGATTCTATCCTTCAACTAGCCTTTACTAAAAACCATACCCAGAGAACTAGATAATCATGAAATTCTTTATCCAAGTGTGTTTTTTTTTTTAGCATTTTGCCATATTTTGTAAGGAATTCACTCTCAACTGATCAGATTATGCAATATTACTTCTTCCCCTTTCACTCCCTATCCTCAATCAATCCGCAAACATTTATTAAGCATGTATTAGTTACTAGGAACTGTGCTAGGTACCTGGGATATGAAGAAAAAGATGAAACAGTGCCCAGCCTCAAAGTACTAGGACACTATCGTTTAGGTTAGTAGGACTATCAAACATCATTTAACTGTCATCCCATAAAGACCTAAGGATGTATTCACACAGGAATATACACACATATTTATCTGAAAATTTTTATATCTTTTGATGTACTTATGTGAATATTATTTTAGTTATGAGTAGTATGATATTCGATTTCCTTTATATTTCCTATTAAGTTAATTCACTACACATGTTAGCCTATGGATAACTTATATTATAAGGAAAAACTTACCTATAAAGTGGCAAAGAATAATATTTTCTTTTTGGAATCCAAATAAACTTGCCTTCTAAGAGTAATGTAGATATTATTATTATAGTGATTTTAAGACGCTGGTTTGCTAAAAAGTGCCCTCTTCATGCCAGTGCAATTCATACAAAGTAAAATACATACCATTTTTAAGATCTAAGTGAACTAAAAATTGTCCACTCCAAAATGTCTGTTTCTATCATTTAGTGAACATCCAACTGAAAGTCATTGTAGAAGCAATTGAACTTTTCCCGAGAATACCTGTCTCTAGTAGCAGAAAGAGTAATTTAGTAATTTACTTTGGAGTTGTTTAAGCTACTGAGAACAAGAAAACATGTGGCTCAGTTGCAAAAAGTGTGACAATTATAACCAAAGACTTGCTAATGGAAGAATGGCCCTGTCTGATGGTAAAGTTGTAAAGTGATCAGTATGGATCTTAGGCTGAAATTCTTATTGATCAGAAGGTATGTGGAAACTTCTAACAAATATGAGTTATCCATTTAGTAGTCTTTCAAAAATTTTGATGTTAAGGACCACTACTCAGATACTGATGAATGTTAAAAGACCAAGAGGGCAGCTTCTAATGTGTTAGATAGGTGCCTATGGGGGATTTATGGGAAGATGTGGACAAGAGTTGTATAGAATGAGAAGGCATGGATGGGTAGTGGTCTGTACTGATGGAGGGAATACCTGTATGAATGAGGATTAAAGATCTCTTGACATAATGAAGAGTAATTAACAGCATTTCATATGGAAACTTGAAGGATATCTCCTGCTTCACACATTGAAAGAAATAAGACATTTAAAAAAAAAAGCAGCTGCTTTTCCCCAGAAATACTTGCAAGTATTGCAAATATCAGAAATGACCATATTCATGTACTTTAAAAATATAAAACATTATTTTTATACCCACAACAAAACATGGACCTGCAGATGTTTTCAAGCAATCTTCTAAAAGCTTCATACGGGTCTTTTGGAGTTCAGGACTGTCCCATTCATCTTCATCTAGGCCCCAGTATAAATCTATGACCTGAAAAGAAATACATCAAATTGTGTCAATTTATCCTTTGGTTTTGTTCTTTTCTTACAAGAAGAGGTTAAATAAAATTTTTAGCTTTTATGTACATTTTCCTTCTAGTTTTGTCCTTGGAAGGAAAAAAGAGATGTTTTTTAAAGATTCATTTAAGATATGCATTTTTGTGTGAGGAAGAGTCAGATGTGAACACTGTTATTTTTTGTCCATTCCCACTCTTGATTATACTATTCAAATAAGCACAGAGGAAAATGAGTGTTAAATATAGGAGGACTTCCAGCTCAAGTTTTCATTATTTTAAAATGATAATAACATTTCAAGATAATGTTTGAAAGCAGTTAGAATAAGGTTGTCACATCATTTAAAATAATTAAGTGAGTAAGTATAGTGTCATTGTATACTTTAACTTCAGAGGATAGATAGAATTTTCATAATCATGGGCATTATAAAAAAAGGAACTCAAATATCTACTTCTTCTTTTATAAAAATTAGTCATCATGCTTTTTATATCAATGGGATGATTTCCTCATGTCTTCTACCCCTGTAAGCAGCTCGGCTTTCATCAATATAGGTTTCAAATGGAAAACAATGAAAGGTACATATTATCATTTCCATTTGTAAAATGAGGATAATGGGACTTGCCATCTACCTACTTCAAGGAGAATTGGGGGAGATTAGTGAGTCTCAAGAGTTTTATGAATGTGATGGTTGATAAGTGCTGCATGAAATAGTATGGTCTTAATCCTCTTCAGTACTTATATAAGATAATTTTTTTCGACTACATTTTCCCACTCCAATGTCATATTTTTTTTCTTCCCTATTTTGTTACCTATGTAGCATGGAATGAAATAAGAAACAAATATTTTATATATCTCCTCTTGGTGATCAGGTTTATATGCTACCCATCCACTGGATATGGCTTTTCTTACTCTATGGTTCTTGACGTCAATAGATTGGATTTCTTTTTCCTTGAATATCTCTGGCCTCTCTGAGGTATATTTCCCACATTGTAATATGGTTGCATACATCTTATACTCTAATAGATTTTAAGATCTTTGAGGGTAGAGTGCATGTCATTCTTTTGGTCTTTCTACCCCCAAGGCCTAGCATACTGTCAGTGAGTCAGTTCATAAGCATTTATTAAGTTCCTACTATGTGTCAGGCACTATGCTATGTGATAGGGATACAAAGGAGGGCAAAAGAAGTTCCTGTTCTCAAGGGGTTCACAGTCTAATGGGGAGACAACATGAAGACAATTATGTACGTGTAAGAAATATACAGGATAAACTGGAGATAATCAACAGAGAAATGAAAGAGAATGTGTGGTCTGCAGTTTTGTGATTTCATCAGTGAATGGATAGAAACTTGTTCTCCTAATGCAGATAAACAACTATTGCATACCTTGAACTAGAGAGTTACCTGAAGTACTGGGAGGTTAAGTGACTTGCCTACAGCAAATATGTATCACATATCATATATCATACATCACATTGTATCATCAGTTAGTTGGCAGCTAGGTAGCACAGTGGATAGAACACTGAACCTGGAGTAAAAAAGACTTGCATTCAGATTTGACCTTAGACACTTACTAGCTGTGTGACAGTGGGCTCAGAAAGACAATCTTTGTCTGCCTAGGATTCCTCATCTGTAAAATGGGGATAATAATAGTGCCTACTTCCCAGGGTTATTGTGAGGATCAAATGAGATAATATTTGTAAAGCACTTTGAAAACATTAAAGCACAGTATAAATGGTAGACAACTATTATGGATCAGAGGCAGGGGTTGGAGCTAGGTTTCCCTTATTCCAAAGTCAGTTTTCTATCCATTATATCATGCTGACTTCTTTCCATGAAAAGAGCAGGTAGGCAATAAATATTCTGTTGAATTCAATCTTTTCTCATCTATACTGTATAGAAAGGGGGTTTCAGATGAAGCCAATTGGTTACTCTTGTGGGCTTCCTTATGAGTACTTTAAGTAAGGTTTTTTTTTTTAATCCCAGTGCCTTTGAAAAGTGTCAGTTTTATACACAAAATTCCAGACCCTTATAACATTTAGTATTTTATGGCACAGTACTGAAGAAAAGAGCTCTAAAGGAAAAAGTAGTAAGGTTACTAAAAGAGGGAAGAAGTAAGATAAATTTCTTTCTGGGAATATTTCTTAGCATCATCTCATTTCCTTCTATTATTACTTTCTTTCTTCAATGACTTATCAACATTTACTTATATCAATAAACATATTTATCAATTAATAGCTTAGTGCCAAATATTATGCTGGGCCCTGTGAGGATACAAAAGTAGTATATTACAAGGACCATGCCCTCAATGAGCATGCAATCTCATTGGGCTGCAGCTATAAATTATGTGAAACTCCTGGTAGGGAATTAAAGATCCTCTAATTCAATTCCCTCATTTTGCAGATGAGAAAACTGAGGTCAAAGGGAAGAGACTTGCCAAAGTCACACATCGAGTTGTTGGCAGAACAAGTATTGGAACCCAGACCTCCATGCTTCAATTTCAGTGTTTTATCTCTAACACTGCAGTTCCTCTAATTATATGTGGTTGTTCCCTCCTTTGAAATCCCACATCTCTGTTCTTCTCTTATAGCATTTATTATACACTACCTTTCTATTATAGCTATTTGTACACATTTTATCTCCCCCTATATGTCATAATCTCCTATCCTTGTATTCTTACTAAAATTGTAGAATGACTTGAATACATGTAGCAAGATGGTAAATTTACTAAATTGGAGCATTCAAAATATCTGGCATTATATGTGGTGCTTACCTTTCTGACCCTTTCTGAAGATTTAGTAACCACAACTCAAGTCTGTTTTCAGTCTAAATTGCTTACCAAGACAAGATTTATAAAGTACTTTAAAAAATTAAGTTTAGCTTTTAGCTTAATGGCTGTCCAGTGCAAGAGCTAGAATCTAATTTGCTTCTTATTCAAATCCTAAGTTGTTGACACTGTGTTTTATGTGCCCATACTTATTCCATCATTAAGTATAAAAGCCCATAAAAAGTAATTTGATTTGTATCCTTTTTACTTAAAGCCACTTGACTTATATGAAAAAGAACTATAGTCTCTGGGCAACAGATATATCATGGTCATTATGTTGCTGAACTAGTCTGAAAAAAGCTAAAACCATTCATTTATGTGCCAAGATTTGAAAACAGGAAAGTAAACATTCATTATGTGCAAAAATAATTAATTCAGTTAAAATGAATAATTATCCTACACGATCATTTCCTTTCAAAGGAATTTCAGTGAATTAAAACAAGTTTTTTCCCAACTAAGCTTCTCTCCTTCCTCTTTTCCTTGCTTCCTTTCCTCTCTATCAATTGTCCTGTCTCTTAAAATACTTCCAAAAATGGTGACTGATTTTTTTTACATTGATGACATATTCAAGTTGGTAATGTCTCACAAAGTAGTCATAATGGAAATCTGTACACTTCTTCCAAAGATTCACCCATTGCTCAAAATATTTTTGGAAACCCACTTTCTGAATATTTTTCAGAACCAGCATTTAAAAACTGCTGCTCACTATAGTAGTGGTTGCAGGTGGGCCTTCAGAACCACAGAAGTTAACCATCATTCTAGAAGCAAGCTATTCTGAAGCTATTTCTTTGATGCCTAGTGGTTTGACCTACTAAGGACCAGTATACAAGCTTCTCTATTCTCTCCAACTTTATGCCTATATAAAGATCAATGGTAACACAAGAGAATCCCATTCTCTGGAAAACACAATAGACAAGGAATGTTTCTTTTAAAAGAGAGTTCAGGATCCAAGAACTGGCCACTCCCTTTCCCTATGCTGGGAGGGAAAAAAAACTAGCTACTAGATGTCTGAAGGTCTAGGTTCATTGAGGAGGCAGTTTTCAATTACATGGCAAATACTAAGAGCCACTAGTCTTTGGGGAATGTTCCAGCTAATCTATGGAACAGCCAGGCCAAGATAACTAGCTAGGTATCTGGACTCCCTAAATGCAGCTACCAGGGCCAATTCCTGGATAAGTATAGTTGCTACCTCTCTGGGTGTAATTAGGGAAATGGAAAGTAGTGGAAATCTTGACTTGCAGGGGAATTGTTGACAGAATACTAGAAGAATGTAGCATTCCCTACCAAACTCCAGTGACACGCCTGCTTTGACACATTCAGAACCACAGACAGCTCCTATTTGCCAGTGCAGTTTTTGAGCTATGTAGGGGAAAAGAGTGCAGAACTTTATGTAGTCAAAGTTCATGTTTATGTTCTTCAGCTTGCTCATCCACCTTAATCACAAAACTTTACTCTGAATGGTATTTCTATCTCCAAAATTCAAATCTAACCTCAAAGGATGAATTTCATGAAACCATGATGATTTGGTACATGAAATATTTATGCTACTTACCTTCAAATTGGCTCTCAGAGATACACAAAAATCCTTATTCACCTTATTGATTCTCTAGCATGCTCCTTACCATAGTTCACACAAGACTTCTCTCTGCGTCTCAGGCTTCCAACTCAATATCTTACCTCTCACTCTCAGCAGATGATCCTCTTTATCTCAGCAGATGATCCTCTTTACTTCTTTACTGAGAAGATGGAGGTCATCTGATGTCAAGTCCTTCAAGTTCTTTTCCCTACTCCTCCAAACTGCTCATACCCATTGCATATCCTCTGTTATTCCCCTTCAAGCTCAAAGTAATTCTTATAATTATCAAGGCTAACCTATACTGGCAATCCATACTCCTCCACCACCTCTCACTACTGGCTTTTTCTCATCATCTCACAAACATGTTCAGTTTTTTCCTCCCCTAAAAATGAGATGACAACAATAAAACAAAAGAATCACCTTCTTCTGACCTTGCTACTTCTTAAACTATCATCACCTTTCTCTCCTCTTCACTTTCAACATTCTAGGTGGAGTGTTATGTAATCTTTGCCTCTCCTTTCTCATTATCCACTCACTTAGCAACCATTGCAATCTGGCTTTCTTAAGACCGTTTGATTT